TACTAATGTAACTTTCAAATAATAGTAGTACTGCACTGTCGTCTACTCTACCTCACCTCTGTCCTCGTGTGAAACGTCAGAGATTATACGTCTATGGGCGCTCTATTCTCTGCTCTATGCTTTCAATGCTCTCTGCATTTCAAATGCAATTTAATCACGGATATCGTATTCATTATATTCATTCATTTGAATTGCAAGCATACGCATACGTTAATAGTAAAAAAGGTTTTTTTTTATATCACTCATTTCTTCTATTCATTCAGAGAAATTGTAAATAAAACTTTTTAAAAACAACCTTTTATTATATTCTTATTACAACTAAAAATTACAATTAACAATAAAAGAAGGGCAAATTACTTGTAATGATTTTTTAAACTGCCACAAGCTAATCTATATTAATTACTAGCTGTCGCCCGCGACTCAGTGCACGAGGAATTAAAAAAAACATAATTAGCAGCCTATGTATTCTTCCTGACTACGTTCTATATAAATACCAAATTTCATCGACATCTAATCAACCAAACATTCGCATTTATAATATTAGTATGATTCACGAAGAAGACCCTTAATAGAGATTTTTCAGACTAAGAACAACCTTTTGGGGGACGATGGAGATAGCAATTGATCCGAATTCGATACATTTTTAATGTAATACGTAATTTCATAAATATATTGTTTACTTTAGGTGTTTTAAAGTCATCGTGTTTATAATTCAGTCCACAAAGTTGCCGGCATGCCGTATTAACTTCAACGTCCCCGACAGCCTTAATTGACTAATTGACTGCACGTTACTCTGCAAGGACATTTGCGTAATTTGTCGACTCTAGAGTTTTTAATTATAGTTATTAATGTATTAAAAAAAACATTTTGCATTTTATCGGTTTAACTAAAGAATTTATCCCAGACTTAACTACAATTTTATTTAAAAGGATTTTTAATACAATGACATGTAAAGTGAACTTTAGACACATTTTGATGGGAATTATGCCACAAATCAATATAAAATTTGTCAAATTAAATTACAATGTGGAATGTTGCATAAAGTTGTTCTTACCGCTCGATTCTAAAACCAAACATCTCTATATAAAACATATCGTCAATCCTGTTATTATTTTTGTTAAAACAGAGATGAAAATATATTTTAAACGAAGATTTCAGTCTCAGAAACCAACAATAAATCAAATATAATAAAAAAAACCTTTGATTATGAATGTAGCACTAGTATTTCTTATTAGTATTCTAATAACGCTTTTACATTAATTTAAAAAATATATTCCAGCTGAATACAATCCATAAATACCAGACCAAAAGTTCTATTTTTAAAGTCAGTTCAGTCAGTCAGTTAGAAAGTTCCATTTTTAAAGTCAGTTCAGTCAGTCAGAAAGTTCCAGTTTTAAAGTCAGTTCAGTCAGTCAGAAAGTTCCAGTTTTAAAGTCAGTTCAGTCAGTCAAAAAGCTCCATTTTTAAAGTCAATTCAGTTAGTCAGTCAGAAAGTTCCATTTCTAACAATTTCAGTTATCTATTTAATTGTGCGAGTGTACACTGCCTGTACACAGTACTGTCCCCAACGTTGATGTTTAATTTCCGCTCGCAGCGAAATACAAGCGTTCAGATTGCGAATACAAACAAATGGATCACCAACGAGACTTACTGAACATTATTTCTATCAGTTTCTGAATATAACAAAAGTTCTTATAACACGAGTTGCTATGCCTAACTGTTAAATTAAAAGTTGTCAAATTACTTCAATCTTCTCCTCTGTTATAAATGCGAATATTTAGATGGATGTTTGTTAGAAGGTATCTCCAAATCAGCTGCGTAGATCTCGCTAAAATTTGGCATAAATGTAAAACATAGTATGGAAGAACACACTGATTAAGTTTTATTTATTCCATAAGGACGGAATCTCCAGAAAGTCGTATCGGAAATTAGAGAACTGTAGGAGGAAAGCATAAGGGAATTCCTATCTAACAGTGGACTAACACAGACAGATGATTGCGATAATGATAGCGATGATGATGATTATAATAGTGACGATGATGATGATGATGGCGATGATGATGATTATGGTAGTGACGATGATCATGATGATGATGACACGCTAGTCCGATGACACACTAACAAAATAGTATCGTCTTTCTTGTTTACATCAGAAAAGCAAAACAAACAAAACTGGTACACATGGACTAATTAAAAGTTTTAAAACATACAGCAAAGCTGAAACACGAATGAAAACTTTTTAAATAATCCGTACATTAATTTACTTTTATTCTTTTTAAATTAAAATGTTATCAAAAATCAATAAGTTAGTAATCGTTCAAAAACTTTAGCCGCCGTTTAACGATGTTAATTTATAACTGCTTTTACAAATCTTATTTTCTTACTAATATTATAAATGTGAAAGTTTTGATGTATTAGTGGATGAACGTATATGAGAAGGTATCTCCGGAGCGGTTCAACGGATCTCAATGAAATTTAACAGATGTAGAACATAGTCTGGAAGAATAGTCTTTTACTAAGTTTAGTACCCCGCGGACGTAGTCTCCCCCTATAGCTAGTACAAAGTAATGGCTATACAGAGTTATTTGCAGTAAACAATTTTACCTCTGAATGTAATTCAGAGGTAAAATGCGTCAAACACAGCTTCACTTACCTTCAGGAATTTCATTCCTTTAACACGGTAAAGCGGTTGTTAACGTTTTTCCAATACTCGGCACAACGGAAGTTCTTCGTTTTGCAGCCGTTTCTAAGGCGAAAATATTTTTTCTAGCTTCTTTTATAAACATTACAGAGTTGAAAGCATTCCAAAAGAGTTGAGTAAAAGTAAATAATTAAATAAAGTCTCGTTAATTACAGCAGCAAATATCTGGTCGTCTGTTTTTATAAGATATCTATTTGTAATTTCATTCATTAGATATTAAACTTGGATGAATATTTTGTCTGGTTACTTAAAGTATCTTTATGATAAAATTAAATTGTGATTAACCGTTTTATCGTGACACATTGATTTAATGAATATTAATTGCCGCAAACAGAAACAAATGAAAATTAAATCGTATTTAAAACAAACAAAAAAAAACATTACCTTAATCGCAATTACGGCTGCCACACCGTGAAGCAGTCCGTGTGCGGCAGCCCTTATAAGAATTTCTGTATTCCGTAATATCGTATACACATCCAACACAGCTTGAAGCAGTCCGTGTGGGGCAGCCCTTATAAGAATTTCTGTTTTCCGTAATATCGATTACACTTCCAACACAGCTTGAAGCAGTTCGTGTGCGGCAGTCCTTATAAGAATTTCTGTTTTCCGTAATATCGTATACACATCCATCACAGCTTAAAGCCGTCCGTGTGTGGCAGACCTTATAAGAATTTCTGTATTTCGTAATATCGTATACACATCCAACACAGCTTGAAGCAGTCCGTGTAGGCCAGCCCTTAAGAATTTCTGTATTCGGTAAAATCCAACGCGAAGTTTACGTCAGTCATGTAATTTCCTCTGATTTTGAATTCGGTACGAAATGACGTATTTTCGCTACAGTATTCTCGTATTTCTCCGGCCGCATGTTTCATTTTACAAGCCATTTCAAGCAGTATATGACTACGTTTTATTCCACGTAGAGGTCGGATTTTTTAGGATTTTTATACCCATTCAGAGGCGAGCACTTATCTTAATTACTTACGACTAAGATTTTTTTTTTGCTAATAAAATAGTGAATTAAACTAATAAATATAAAAACATGGAAAAAATTGCACTTCAAATTACAATTTGCAACTTATATTGTTTACTTTAACAAATATGTTGGCTGGTCTATTGTTTCCACTTCTATTTAGTTTGTTACTTGAGTTGCTTTTTTAATTAGTGTACTACGGTGTCATTCTCCGCGCTTTTGTTTTTTTTAATACTTTTTAAATCGATCGATTTTTAAATCGTGTATTCGAAATAGAAATTAAGTAGATTTAAAAGTTTCTTTAAATCATTTTTTGCAAGCGTTGTATGTAATCTTACAAGCCACAAAATCTGTTCGTATTTCGCTATGTATATTTAAATGTCAGTGCCGTATCGCCGCGACCGATGTTTGCTAAATAAGGATACATATTTTATGTGTTTGCTCCATAAACCGAAGCCAATACGGCTTTCTCATTTATACTACAAACAGAAATATGTGCTATATCTACGTGGAATATTAAAAAAAAGTTTTATGTAAATATTGTCCCTAAATATTTCTTAAGAAACTGTTAATTTTGTACTCTAATGTGTAAGACTTTAGTTACTTTTTTCTATGTAAACCATATAAAAAAGTAAAATGAAATTCATCAATTTCTAATCTTACTAATATTATGAATGGGAATATTTAGATGAATGGATGTTTGTTTGAAGATATCTCTAGGACGGCTGCATGGATCTTGCTGAAATTTGGCATAGAAGTAGAACATAACCTGGACGAAAGCATAGGCTACTAATTAAGTTATTTTTTTATTCCGCGCGGACGGAGACAGGGGTGACAGCTAGTCGTACTATAAAGGGATATCAGAAATTTAAATTTAAAAAGGTTATGCTTTTAACCGTGCGAATACACATAAAATTATTTTATCATTTTTTAAGTCTGAGAGCAATTTGAAATCTGTTAATTTATTGAAAATTGTTGCTTCGGGCGTAATGGTCGGTCGAAAATGCTGATTGAAAAGCAAAAATGTTTTGCAATGCAAAAAATACGAACGATTCCACCGCCATCGAACGAGACCGCCAATTATATCAAGTTATGCGCCATTTATTCAGTTTTTTTTTATATTAATCTTTTAAAACTTAAATTTTAATTAAAAGAAACTACTACAAACTAATAACAATATCCTTTAACATAGTAATAGAAGTAACTTAGAAACAGTAACATAAATTGCTAACAGCTGTATCTTGTATCCAAACAAAGCAGATGAAATTTTAATAATTAAAAGTTAACAATTCTTACATATTGTAATATATGGTATGAATTAAACGACGGTTAGCTGGGGACTGATTTATTTTGCCAAATTAACAGGGTAGGTTGACATCACCTACCTACATTAACAATAATACATTACAATATCCCTCTCCAGATGAATTACAATGAAAATTAAAGCAATAATAATTGCACAAACTTAAATGACTAATCAAGAAAAGAAAACTTTTTTTTTGTTTAATATAAATAAATTAATCGGTTACAAAAACAGTGTGAAATTAACCAAGCTACCATCACATACACCGCCCTTAAAATGTTGCTAGTTCCAATCAGGCAAACAAATTAATAAGACTTTTAAATAAACAAAAAAAAATTAAACTTAATCGTAACTTAACTTGACGGTAACTTGTACACAAGGATATTGTTATAAAAAATAGAACGAAATTTAAGAAAAATAGTTTTTAGTACTAACTAGGGAAATATGAAAATATTATGTTTATTAAGTGCAATACAATAGTAGGTAAAGTAACTTAAAATAAAACAAAACCAAGAAAAAAAAAGAAATAAAAAAAAAGATTACGAAAAAAAAAAGAATAATAATTATGATATCTATTAAACGTAATGTGAATACTTGTATATTTTAAAGTTTCATTTTTTTAATTGTCGTGGCCTTAAATTATAACGCTTTTGTTCTGGTGTTTGAGTGGGGATCGAAAGCTCAGGCACAATATTAGTTTCGTACGATGACGCACACGAAATTTCGTCTGTTTTCGAAGTGGAACTCGAATTAACACTTTCGCGCGCCGCTGGTACTCTCGTTTCCGCAGTGTCGTCCCCCTGTACCTGAGAACATTCATTATCTTCACTATTTTCATTTTGAATGGGTATATGCCACGAGTGACGCAAATTTTTCTTAGGAATTATTTGATCAATATGTCTGGTCTTTGTTTTATCACCGGTATTAACCGCGTAGGTGACCTTGCCCGTACGCTCTGTCACTATTCCCTCCATCCACTTGTCTCCTTTTCCGTAATTCCTAACTAGTACGACATCGCCGACACCAAGACTGCGCGGGCGCCCCCCCGCGTGCCGGAGCTGCGTGCATTGCGCGCGCGCCACCGCCTCGCCCGTGGCTGCGGCGGGACGCAACAGATCGAGACGCGTCCGTAGCCTTCTCCCGAGCATGGCTACAGCCGGTTCGCGTTGTGTGGTGCAATGCGTACTGTTGCGATACTGCATTAAAAATTTGCTTAACGCGCGGTCGACATTTTCGCCCTCTACTTGAGCCTTTTTGATGACCTTTTTCACGGTCTTTACAGCATTTTCTGCCGCCCCGTTGCTCGACGGATGGTACGGTGCCGTAACTATATGGTCTACACCATTTTTCTTCAAAAACTCCTCAAATTCACAGGAAGTGAAAGGTGGCCCTCCATCCGTAACCATTTGTCTAGGAATACCAAATCGAGCAAATAATTCTCTGAATTTATTTTCCACCGTAGCCGCAGATGTTCCGCCACACATGTGAAACACCTCGATCCACTTAGAATGAGCATCGATGACGAGCAAGTAATATCGCCCACCATGTTGTAGAAAGTCCGCGTGCAACCGGGTCCACGGTTCCGAAGGCCAGGCATAAGGCACAGGAGTGGCGCACGGCGGCGCATCCCTCTGGTCGCGACACGCAGCGCACGTGCGCGCGCGTTCCTCCAGCTCCGCGTCGAGCCGTGGCCACCACACATAGCTGCGAGCTATTTGCTTCATCCTTACCATGCCCACGTGGCCCGCGTGAACCTCCTCCACTATCTGTTTGCGCAGGGTACCAGGTATGACCACCCGGTATCCCCACACGATGCATCCATGATCGACGTGTAGCTCCTCCTTGCGATGAAAATAAGGCTTCTCGCCTTCGATTTCGGTCTGCTGTGGCCAACCGCTTATAATATACCCATATATCTTTCTTAACGTAACATCCTTTGCCGTCTCCTTTGCCACATCCTTATGGCTAAGAGGGAAGCTGTCTTCAACAAAATGCAAGTAAGTTGCAGCGTCCTCCTCCTCCGTCGACTTGCTTGAAGTCGGCTGCGGTAGGCGGGACAAGCCATCGGCGTTGCCGTTTTTGTCCGTAGATACGAAGACGATGTCGAAGTCGTATGCCGCTAGGCGTACAGCATATCTCTGCAATCTACTAGCTGCCGTTTGTGGTATGCCGTGTTTCGGTCCGAAGATGTACGTGAGTGCCTTATGATCACTCCGAAGAGTAAATTTACGTCCAAACAGATATTGATGGTGCCTGCTTACCCCGTAGACGATCGCCAGTGCCTCCTTGTCGATCTGGCTGTAGCGCCGCTCCGTGTCGGTGAGTGTGCGCGAGGCGCAGCTGACGATGCGTTCGCTGCCGTCGGGCATGCGATGCGCCAGCACGGCACCCAGACCATACGCGCTGCTGTCCACGGCGAGTACCAGCGGCAGCGACGGCGAGTAATGCGCTAGCGCGGGCCCGCTAACTAACTTATCCTTAACTGCTTTGAATGCCCGCTCGCAATCCCTATTCCAACACCATTTATTGCCTTTCGCCAATAACTTATACAATGGATTTAACAATGTACTCATGTTCGGAATGAAGCGCGAATAATAATTAATTAAGCCTAACGCTGCTCGAAGTTGTGATACATTTTTCGGCACAGGTAAATTTACAATGGCGGATACCTTACTCTTATCTGTATGTACCCCATTTTTATCAATTCTATATCCTAAATATGAGATTTCATCCATAAAAAACTCACATTTTTCAAATTTAATACGTAAGCCCGCTTCTTTTAATCGAGACAATACTTCTTTAACATTTTGTAAATGATGCTCTCTATTGCGACCGGTTATACATATATCGTCAATAAATGCTACAACACAATCTAAGCCGCTCAGAGTTTCCTCAATTAATTTCTGGAACATTTCTGGTAAACATTTTAAACCAAACGGGGCCCTTCGATACACAAATACACCCATATGAGTTGTTATAGCCGTTAGTGGTTGTGAAGCTTCATCTAATACTACTTGCAAATAAGCATTCTTTAAATCTAATTTAGTAAACTGTTCGCCACCACTTAACGCTGCAAACAGCTCTTCTGTGCGCGGCAAAGGATAATGAAAATCTTTTAATAAAGGGTTTACTGTGACTTTATAATCACCGCAAATCCTAATTGTTCCATCGCGCTTTATTATCGGTACAATGGGCGTTCCATAATCGGACCTGTCCACTTTATAAATGATTCCCTCCGCTTGTAAGCGTTCTAACTCGCGCTCGACAGGCGAACGCAACGCTAACGGCAGCGGACGGGCCTTGCAAAATATCGGCGTTGTATCTTTCAAATGTAATTTAATTTTTATTTTGAATGTGCCTACCCCGTTACCGAATACCTCAGGAAATTCATTTCGTAGATTTATAAGTAACGAGTCGGCCGGCAGACCTATTTTATTAATGTTAATAGCATCTAAGTTGAGTTTACGTAGCCACACACGGCCTAACAGTGGCGGGCCGCCGCGTGCGATAACAAACAATGGCAACTCGGTCGTCCCGCTCCCACTCGTTACGCGCACCGTGACGTAACCGAGAGGGACGATCGCCTCGCCCGTGTACGATTGCAATTTAATGTTATGTTTCGTAATAGGTAAATTATAAAAATATTTATCATAAAATTCTTTTGACACCGCCGAGATTCTGCTGCCCGTATCTATTTCAAAAATCATGTCTATATTTTCTACACGCAATGAGCAATGATAAGGTCCGTCCGTACCATTATTACTAACGGATATAATATGATGTAAACAATCACTCGCATCGCTCGCCGAGTCACAACTATCAATATAATTATGAAGTTTCGACTTTCCGCTCTCAGCCCTATATACATTTTTTTTACACATTTTAGCCAAGTGGCCTATATTATAACACTTATAACATTTAAACGACTTATAGCTACACTTATCTGCCGTGTGCTCGTCCTTGCCGCAGCGCCAGCAAACGTTGCGCCGCGGCCGTGTGGCCCCCGCGGCCACGCGATGCAGGCCGCCCGCCTGCTCGAGTCCCGAAGCTGCCGGCGCCGTCACCTGGCCGTCGCCGCCGGCCGCTTCCGCGTGCCTCTCGGCTGCCTCCAGCGCAAGCGCCAGCTCCACCGCCTTCTTGTAATCCAATGTGGGTTCCGCGAACAACCGAGACCGCATCACTTCGTTTCGAAGTCCAGAGACGAACTGATCCCTAATGTTTTCTTCAAGCATAGTTCCAAAATTGCAATGCTTCGCTAAGTGTTTTAAATTTTGCAAAAACACGCTTATCGATTCAGTCTCTGTCTGTCGCCTTTGTCTAAACAGGTGCCTTTCAGCTATTTCCGATCTTTTCGGTTCGAGGTGATTTCCGACAAGATCAACCAGCACTTGGAATGACTTGGTCTCCGGATGCATCGGCGCACACAGGTCGCACATGAGCTCGTACGTGGCGGCGCCGACATGCGTCAGTAATGTTGCGACGTGTAGATCTTCTCTGATGTCGTTAAGTAAAATGAACTGCTTAACGAGACGCACGTACGCACTCCAGTTGTTACGATCGTTAATATCGTATTCGTGCAACTTTCCGAAAGGCATATTTAACACTATTAACCCGAAATACAAAAAATAAATAAACACACTCGTCGCCAGTTGTAATATATGGTATGAATTAAACGACGGTTAGCTGGGGACTGATTTATTTTGCCAAATTAACAGGGTAGGTTGACATCACCTACCTACATTAACAATAATACATTACACATATGTTTATAATTACTGCAACGTTGAAGCTTGGTTTAAAGCTTCTCATCCAATTGTTTTAAATTAATTTAACTTGGAATAGCTAGTTAGAACTAGTGGAGAGTTCTAGATATTTATATGACCTTGGGGAGTAGTAATTCAATTGTTTTGTTAACTAATCTAGCAGCTAGATAACTAAAATCATGTATACTGATATTTTAAAGCGGAAGAGTTTGTTTAAACGCGCTAATGTCAGGAACTACTGGTCCGATTTGAAAAATTCTTCTTTTGTTGGTTAGTCCATTTATAGAGGAAGGCCTTGGGTTAACAATTAATTTTTTTAATACCACGCAGACGGAGTCGCGACCGACAGCTAGTCCCTAATAAAAATCAAGAGTATTTTTATTAATAATCACGATATCTGTAAAATAAAGAGTTAGTAATTTTCAACAGTTGTCGCAGAAAAATTATAAAAACATTACCGTGTAAAATGGAAATACATGCAAAGCCGCGGGCATTATATTATATCCAATGAGACCGGAGCAAACTCAACTTGAGGTAATAAACTGCATCAAGTGGATCTCTCGCAAGAATATTCCACTGAAGCGCTCATTGTTAACCCGAGCGCTGTTTCCTGCGGGAACATTTTTACCTGAATAAAACTTTTTAAATAGGTTTTTTATGTCTTTTCTTCATTTTATGGCTGCGATATAAATATACCAGTACAGTTGGACTTTTATAGGTGTCATTTAATTCTTTTTCCTTGACTCAAAAATCCTTTAAAGTTTTTTATAATATTTTTGTTTTAAAGGCTATCTACCGCTACGACTTAGGGTCCTTCAAGAAGCAAGCGTATCACCATATCAAAGGTCGCCAACGCATCTGCAGTTCCTCTGGTCTTGTAGATATCCATGAGCGTCGATGAACTCCTCGGTGTTGGCAGCACGAAATCAACATTACGCCAAAATTCTATTTTTATCTTTTAATTTATTTATCATATTTCTTTTTATTTCAAAACAATGCAAAAAACCCTAATCCGGGCCATCCGTGATTTCAAATTGGAACTTTGTGTGTAATAGTTGTTTCGCTCTACAAAATATTGTAGTACAGTCAGCGTCATATAGATCGTCACAGACAAGATATGCAAATATATAGGTACACCAAAAGTATTCAATTATATCGGTACAACAAAAGTCCTCAAAATAATAGATACATTCACCCTGCTCAAATACATCGGTACATACACAGCGTCAAATATATGAGTACATGCAAGATGCTCATAAATATCGTAGCAGCCACAGCGTCATAAGTAACGAAGCAGTCAAGGTGCTCAAAAATATCGGTACATTTGACAAAATTGAACTCTATCTCTATATGCTTGTGATACAATTTGGAATAAACTACTTCTGTTACATTCATTTGACACTTTGTATTAACATTATAGGTTGTCCGGAAAGTTCGTTCTGATTTTCGATATAAAGCTTACAATAGACTGTAGCTGATGTGGATTCATTTTCGGATTTCCACCATTATCAAACGTCACAAAAATTTCTATATTGTGAATAATTTCATTTCATTGGTTGAGATAAAAACTAATTTTTAAAATTTTATCCAATAATAAAAGACGTTT